TTCGGGGTCGTCGTGGTTAAAGGTAAGTGAAACTTAAATATTCCTCAATTAACTTTTTGATTTCTGAAATTGAAGAGTGTAGAAAGAGAGTTGAACATATTTTGTTGTTCATCATAACCAAATTTATAGTATAATAAATCAATTAGCATATTTAAGTGACAGTTATTCAATATCTTAAAAGAAGACCTTCTTTCGATTTTTCGTGCAAAGCTGAGAAAGACAATGGACTTGTTTTTGAAAAATTTAAATAATTTTACTTGTTAAACATTTTAATATAATCATATACATATGCATAAATCAGATAGTACAAACAAATTTGAATAATAATTTATTTACTATTTCGGAAAAAATGTATATTTTTCGATTTCTATTAATTTATAATTATATGGGACTGCCCAGTTATGCTCAATTAAGAAATATACCGATACAGATAGACATACCTCTTTTATGCAGAGGCTATTTATCTATTTTAGTAGATCTAAAGTAAGTCTTTATTGATAAGTTCAGCTAACCCTTTTTTACTGAAAACTCACCWAAGAAAAATATTACATGAAATGGAAAAAACCAATTTGAAAGTTGAAGAGTTCAAGTATGAAAAGTCATTTAATGAGTCTAAAGTGAGCTTAAATATTTTGTAARCAATCTACTAATCAACTACTAATCTAATTTTTAGTAATGAAAACATTTTTAATYAACAAATTTTAGGTTKTTCCCAAAGGCATGTAYAATTTAATCATGTGGGTCATGCGAGAATATGATAATCCGCCTATTATTGTGACTGAAAATGGAGTAAGTGACAAAGGTGGCCTTGAGGATTACAAACGCGTTGATTATCTCAACGCTTATCTATCCGGTAAGTCTGAAATATCTATATGGGTATAGAGATGTATTTATTGATAGTATTTGAAAAAATGTATCTAATTTTATTRTGKAATGGATCTTTATTAATGATTACAGCCATTTTGGATGCCATTGAAGATGGTGCAAATGTACAGGGTTACACTTATTGGAGCTTGATGGACAGCTACGAGTGGAAAGTTGGCTATACGTATGTATTTTATACTATCTTCCACGATTTTACGAATGCTTTCGAAAACTATATTGAATCTTAAATAAAAAATCGAGTTAAARAATTCCGATACGWAAGCTTTTAACGATTATTTCTTACATATTTTAGAGAAAAATTCGGTCTCTACCACGTGGACTTTAATCATCCAAATCGCACGCGTACGCCGAAGATCGSCGCCAAGGTCTATGCGCAGATTTGCAAGACGAACACGATTGATTGGAGTTATCGGCCAACATTGGATGAATACCAAATTAATGCGATGGCACAGCTACCCGAAGTTGAGGACGTTGGCGATTCTACATCGAGTGC